CCAGGCACGGTGGCGGAATGGGCTCAAGGCCGTTAGATCCGCCGCCCCCTGTTGAACAGCGGTGCTTGGCGTGCAAGACCCTACTGGTTCTTGTAAAAAATCAGCCGATCCGGCGTGTGAGTTCCTGAGAGCGCGGGCTTGAGCTCGCTCAAGCTTCGCTCTGGCGAGGGGGGGGGGGCTGACGCGAGCTGACGCGGGCTGACGCGAGCTGACGCGGGCTGACGCGGGCTGACGTTTTTCCGGCCCCCGGGCCCGGGATCCGGGACCCGGGCGCGCTCCTGGGATGGGGGGGGGGCTGACGCGAGCTGACGCGGGCTGACGCGAGCTGACGCGGGCTGACGCGGGCTGACGTTTTTCCGGTCCCCCGCCCCCCGGCGGGCCCGGATCCGGGACCCGCCTGCGCTCCTGGAGGGGAGGGGCTTGACGCGAGCTGACGCGGGCTGACGCGTTTTTCCGGGCCCCCGGGTCCCGGATTCCGGGCCCGGGGGCCGCGCTCCTGGGAAGGGGGGGCTGACGCGAGCCTGGGACGCGGGCTGACCGCAAGCTGACGCGGGCTGACGCGGGCTGACGTTTTTCCGGCCCCCGCGCCCGGGATCCGAGACCCGGGCGCGCTCCTGGGAGGGAAGGGGGAGGGGGGGGGCTGACGCGAGCTGACGCGGGCTGACGCGAGCTGACGCGGGCTGACGCGGGCTCACGTTTTTCCGGCCCCCGGGCCCGGGTCCGGGGACCCGGGCGCACCCGGGAGCGGCGCGAGACCCGGGAACCGGGACCGGCGCCGGTCTCAGGCTCGGGACCCGCCGGGACCCGACCCGGGACTGGCGCGAGACCCGGGACCCGGGACCGGCGCGGGACCCGCGACCAGGACCCGGGACCGGCGCAGGCGCGGGACCCGGGGCGCGGCACCGGCGCGGGACCCCGGGACCCGGGACCGGCGCGAGACCCGGGACCCGGGACCGGCGCGGGACCCCGGACCGGCGCGGGACCCGGGACCCGGGACCCGGGACCGGCGCGCGACCCGGCACTCCCGACCCGGGACCGACGCGGGACCCGGGACGCACCGGCGCGGGACCCGACCCTGGACCGGCGCCGGTCCCGAGACCCGGGAACGGCGCGAGACCCGGGACCCGGGACCGGCGCGGGACCCGGGACCCGGGACCGGCGCGGGACCTGGGACCCATGGGACCCGGAACCGGCGCGAGATCCGCGACCCGGGACCAACACGACACCCGGGAGACGGGACCGGCGCGAAACCCGGGACCCGGGACCGGCACAAGACCCGGACCCGCACCGGCGCGGGACCCGGGACCCGGAACCCGGGACCGGCGCGGGACTCGGGACCCGGGACTCCGGACTTCGGACCGGCGCCGGACCCGGGACCCGCGACCCGGGACAGGCGCGGGACCCGAAACCCGTGACCGGCGCAGGACGTGAGACCCAGGACCCGGGACCAGCGCGAGACCTGGGACCCGCCGGGACCGGCGCAGAACCCGGGACCCGGGACCTGGGACCGGCGCGGGACCCAGGAGGACCCGGGACCCGGGGCTCGGGACCGGCGCGTAACCCAGGACCTGGGACCCGGGACCGGCGCGGGACCCGGGACCCAGGACCGGCTCGGGACCCGGGACCCGGGACCGGCGCGAGACCCGGGAAGCGGGACCGGCGCGACACCTGGCGCGCCGGTCCGGGTCCAGGGTCCTGCGCCGGTCCCGGGTGCCAGGACCGATGAGACCTCGCGCGCCCCTCTTGGGTCTCTCCTGAAGCCCATTTTGGTTTCTCTGGGACCCCTCTTGGAACCCTCGTAAGGCCCGGTTGGAAATCTCTTGGAGCCAGAAGAGCCGACCCAGACAGTGTGAGAGGGCTCTCGAGGGGCACCAGGAGTGGGACAAGAGGACCCCAAGAGGGCTCCAGAAGGAGCGCGCCAGGTCTCATCGAGAACAGCGGTTCGATGAGACCTGGGCCTCCTTCTCTTAGAGCCCTCTTGAGGCTATCTTGAAGCCCCCTAAGGGCTCTCTATTAGCCCCTAGACGGGGCCAGGACAGGGTGGGCCGGTCCTCGAGGAGCCCCGGAGGGAGCCAAGATGGCCCCAAGAGGGCTCCAAGACAAGCGCGATAGGTCTCATCGAAAACGGCGGTTCGATGAGACCCATAGCGCCCCTCTTGGAGCCTTCTTGGGGCCCTCTTGGAGCTCTCTGGTGGCTCTCTTGGAGTCGCAGAGCGGAAAGCGCACGAGAAGGAGGAAGAGAAAGAAGAGGACGCTACTACTACTACTACTACTACTACTACTACTACTACTACTACTACTACTACTACTACGACTACTACTACTACTACTACTACTACTACTACGACTAGTACTAGTACTACTACTACTACTACTACGAACTACTAACTACTACTACTACTACTAAACTACTACTACTACTGACTAAACTACTACTACGACTACTAACTACTACTACTACTACTACTGCTACTACTACTACTACTACGACGACTACTACTACGACGACGACTACTGCTACTACTACTACTACTACTACCACTACTACTACCACTACTACTACTACTACTACTACTACTACTACTACTACTACTACTACTACTACGACTACGACTACTATTACGACGCCTACTATCTACTACTACTACTACGACGACGACTACTACTACTACTACTGCTACTACTACTACTACTACTACTACTACTACTACTACTACGACTTTCTTCTTCTTCTCTACTACTACTACTCTACTACTAACACTACGACGACTACTCTACTACTACTACTACTACTACCACTAACTACTACTACTACTACTAACTACTACTATACTACGAGGACTACTACTACTACTTACTACTACTACTAACTACTACTACTATACTACTACTACTATTATACTACTACCTACTACTACTACTATACTACTTTACTTGACTACTACTACTACTACCAACTACTACTACTACTACTCACCACTACTACTACTACTAAACTACTATACTACTACTATATACTACTCGTCCTACTACTACTAACTACTACTACTACTACTAACTAGTAGTACTACTACTACTACTACTACTAATATAATTAATAATACGAACCTACTACTACGACTACTACTACTACTACACTCACAACGACTACTACTACTACTACTACTACTACTACTACTACTACGACTACTACTACCACTACTATTACTACTACCACCACTACTACTACTACTACTACTACTACTACTACTACTACTACTACTACTACTACTACTACCACTACAACTACTACTATTACTACTACTACTACTACTACTACTACTACTACTACTACTACTACCACTACAACAACAACTACTACTACTACTACTACTACTACTAGTACCACTCGTACTACTACTACCAGTACTCCAGCTACTATTGCGGCGTCAACTGTTAGTTCTCCATCCACACCCTCGAACCGCACGGAGTAGGAGGATTAAGAGCGCCCCGGATCGGCGGCACTGGCCGGAGGCCACTACAATAATTCTCCCCAGGGCCTCGGGTCCGTGCCGTTGGCCTCCCGGAAAAGGTGGTTGCCGTGCCCCCCCAAAGGCAGTTTCGCTCGGGACATTCTCAACTAATCGTGATCTTGGGGGTCCTAGCCCAAGACGCCCTATGATAAGAATGAGCGTTTCACCCACGACGGCCTCAAGATCACGGCAGACGGCCCAAAAGGCCCTCAAGAGGCCTCCGAGACGGCCCAAGAGGCATCCCAGAGGGCCTCCAGGAAGGACCGAAGAGGCCAAAATCATTGTTCCTTCAGTTGTTGACAGATTTCGGCCTTCCGACGGCCCGAGACGGCCCAAGAGCCCCCGAAGATCGCCCCAAGACTGCCCAAGAGGCAAGAGGGCCCCAAGACGGCCCAAGACGCCCAAGATGGCCTCCAAGACGGCCCCGCAGTACCCCAAGGGCCCCAAGTCGGCCCGGAGAGGCCCCCAGGGCGGCTTCTGGCGGCGTCGGGCGGGCCGGGGGCCTGCCGGGGCGGCCGGGGTGGCTCTCGGGTGGCCCTTGCGACCCGGGAGGCCCCCAGTCCCCAAGGGGTCTCCGGGGCGGCCCGGGGAACCTCCCGGGGGGGGGCCTCCAGGGGGGCCCGGGGAGGCCGAGGTCGGGTGTTCCTTGGGTTGTTAGCAGAGTTTGGCGTTTGCTTCTTTTCGGTCTTCCGAGGGCCCGAGACGGCCCAAGAGCCTCCAAAGACCGCCCCAACACCACCCAAGAGGCCCCCAAGGCGGCCCCAGAAAAGCTAAAGAGGCCCCCAAGACGGCACCAAGAGGGTGCCAACACCGCCCAACAGGCCTCTAAGACGCCCAAGATGTCTTCCAAGACGGCCCTGCAGCACCCAAGGGGGCCCCAAGTCGTCCCAGGGAGGCCCCCAAAACAGCTTCCGACGGCGTCAGACGGGCCAGGAATGCCCTGAGACTGCCAAAGAGGGCCCCGAGAAGCTCCCAATGGCCCACAAAAGGCCTAAGGAGGTCCCCAAGATGCCTCCAAGGCTCCCAGGAAGCTCCCAGGAGGCCCCCATGAGAGCCCCCATGAGAGCCCCCAAAGGCTCCCAAGATGCCCCCTCCTCCTCCTCCTCCTCCTCCTCCTCCTCCTCCTCCTCCTCCTCCTCCTCCTCCTCCTCCTTCTCCTAATTCACATCCTCCTCCTGATCTTCCCCGCTATTCTCCCCCAAGTGTTCCCCGAAGGGTTTCCACAACGATTGAGGGAGCACATGGTCCGATAGCTTGGCAGAGTTCTTGCCACAACGCTCGGCGACATGGGCGATTCCAAAAGACAGGGGGCGGCGGTGACTCGCCGTAGGCGTCTTCGATGTTGCACAAAGGACTGCAAACAAACAGAGCTAAGCACAATCGCGGGTGCATTCACAGGACTAAAGCATACAACAACACACACACACAACTATATCCAATGTTGTTCTTACATATTTCGTGATCGTAAGAGCCTTGCTAAGCCACGCGTTACGGAGAAGTATCGCCATGGCAACCAATCTCAATAGATGACCTCCTAGATGGACGCAAATGCCCCAATCTGTGTAAGATGGCCTTGCCCTGCTTCATGATCACGAAGAGCTCCGAGGGCTTCTCTCCTTGCGACCGCAAAATCCCCTCCACAAATTCATTAATGTCCACGGTGCCGCTCCCGTCATAGTCCAGCAGATGGAAAACTTCCTCCAGCTGGTTCAAGCCCACGATGTGCTGCATGGCCTCCTTGATGTCGGATGGAGCGTTCAGGATCTCTTCAAGGTCCACTTCTCCATCACCAGTCGTGTCCAGAGTCATGAACAAATTTCTCAGCTTGGGCATCATGTTCTTCCTTCTCATGTCATCCCATGCCCTCTTTGCAACCTGGTCCTCGTTGGCGGTGCGGAGGGCGGACTCCACCATGATGGCTGTGACGATGTTCATGAGCGGGAGAAGAAGCAGACGGTGAATGGAAAATCCCAACTCTCGAGTATAAACATATCTTAAGAGACGATCTTCCTCTTTGAAGTCGTTGTGCAGACCTCTAGGGAGATGGATGCAAGATTTGTTCAGGGCCAACACCAAGTAAGAAGACCGCCATCTCACAGGACAGTGTCATCGACTTCATGAAGGAGGTTCGTCTCTTAAGATATGGTTTTGCTCCAGAGCTTGGGTGTTCCATTATCCAGATGTTTCTTCTTCTCCCCCTCATGATGTTCATGAGGGCAATAGGACCAAGCAGGAGGAAAACCAAGAAATAGATGAACAACCATGGCTTCGCAAATATCAGAGGTGTGTAGACCGGTGCCACGCTGTCGAAGGTCATGAACTGCATGAGAGTCAACATGGAACCACCCAAAGTATCAAACCGATGTGCAGCAATGCTATCCGACACAGTGCCTCCTGGCACGTTGGGCCGTGGAGGATGCTAACGGCTGTCTGGTAAGGCTTTAAATTCCGAGCAAGGAACCCCCTTCCCTTCTACCCGCGGACTGGTGCGTGCATCACACCTACTCACCGAGGCCAGCCACTTCTCTCGTGCCCGTTCGATGATGGTGCACTTCCAGCATGGGAACTAATGCATAAAACCCCCATTCCAGGATGGTGCATTTCCCGCATGGCAGCGAATGTCTAGGCCATTGTTCCATTCGCGCCCGCTGGAGGATTGCATACTCCCCGCATGGCAGCGAATATCTCACCCTTCTTTCCCACGCGTGTCCGCTCGAAGATTTCACACTTCCCTGATGGCTGCAAACTCCTATGCACCTCATTCCACGCGCACTTGCTCGAGGATCGCGCGCTTCTCGCATACCCAGCCGCTGCTCCCGAGCGCTCCAAGGCCTTCCAAGCCGCGGTCCCTCGTTAAAGGACATGGATACGCGACCCGAGCTTCCATGACGGCCTGCGCAGGCAACCAAGGGCACCATGACGGGCCAAGACGCATCGAACGCGGCCCAAGATGGCCCCAAGGCGGCCGACCATTGATTCAAGACGGCCCGAGAAGTCAGACGCCACATGGTAAACTGAGATGCGCAGATCGTCTTAGATGCACCCCAGATCCCAGCCATGACGTAGCATGGGTAAGGAATGGCGGGGACTGGACATGGGACAGTAGATATAGAAAAGGGTTTATGATCAAAGAACGATGTACATTTTCTCACACGCTCGTCTACAGTGGCACCGTCCAAGTAGATACAGCCACGCGCAGCTTGAACCAAGCGGCGGCGGTTAGACGCTCGCTTTGCTCGCCTTCCAACCCCGTTCAAAGTCGACGAGAGGGAAACAAAGGGCGAGTCTGCTCGCAACAAGCAGCTACATTACAACCATGCTAGCGGGGGCCGCACAACGGGCGACCCCCCACACACAAAACCCAAACAGGTCGTTAGACATTCGTCACTGCTTGGGAGCCCACCCTACGTGAAAATATTGAATGGCGAGTAACCTCGCAAAAATCAGGCGCCTGGGGATGCAGACGCCCGAACATGTCCTAGAAAAGTTAAGGGCCAGTGACCAGGCGTAGGAAAGCTTGCGGCCATGCTGCCCGATATACCTCAACCGCCGGACCTCGCAGGACCAGGCTCAAGCGTTGAAGCCTGATTACCCGGGCACGGTGTACACTGGTTTTGTTCGTGCTTGAAGGACTGGATGACTCACATCACTTGTAGGAGTAACTCGCGATCAATAGTACCTTTGGTATGTCAATCGGCTGTCATATCACGTGTGTCACACCACTGTCCACTACGTACGATACCCCTGTCAATCTTTTGTCCAATCCAACTAGTATGATCAAATGATGTACCTGATGCCTGTGTCTTTGGGTCGTTGCTAAACAAGGACTTGAAGACGGATTCTACGTCAATGGTTGGTGTTGCCTTGATGTGCAGACGCCCCATGTCCAGCATGCTATTGAACTGCGTAGGTGTAAGCGACCTGGACTTTGTGAAATGTCATGACAGTCGGGTAGCAGTCTTCCAAGCTGCGTGCTGCTGCTAGCGCTTCCGCTGAACAGATGGCGAGTACCTGCAGTCAGTGGGACTTGCAGCGCGCATCCAACAGGTGGGCGACAGGCTCTCTCTCATGCGTGGGCCCACGCCTAAAGATGTCAGCACCTCGGCCACCATGCCCCTCCACCTCGTCGTCGGCGTCGTCGCGAAGGCGTCGGCCGCTAGAGTCGCTACGCAGGCCCAACTTTCCAGTTTGAGTCATAGCTTGGTTTGCAATTGTCATTAGACTTGCCTGCAGCTTCCACGCGATGGCGCTGAATCGTAAAACCAGTAGGTTGGTCGGTTCTTGGACGCGCTGTAAAAATGCCACGCATGTCATCAGCTACGGGCGAATGCGGCATAAGCCAAAGTACCCCGAAGGCTGATGAACACGTCGGTCATGGTCTTCGTCGCTCATCTTCGGCAGCAGCACCCTGAAGTTCAAAATGACGCATCGGACAACGCTCTGTTATGTTCGCCCTGGCCGAGGGCGGAACTGCCATCCTAAAGTTTAGCGCATCTCACGGCGCGAACGGTGGACGCAAGTGTTTGTGAAGTTCGCATGCGCCGAAGGTTTTCTGCGCGCTCGACGCGCTTCTCGATCGCGCCCTCGTTGCCGTCGACTATGCCATCGACGCTCGTCGCACGAGGTAGGTCGCAGTCAAAATCCCCGAATTGACACGCGAAGCTGCAACGAGAACGCCCGCGGGGCGTCTTTGGTCTAAGTGCCTGGTTTGAGGCGCCGTGAGCAATGCTTCGATCCGTCGAATGACGCGAAGCCAGGGAATGACCTCAGGGCGGTAGCTGAACCTGGCGGCACGATAAAGCAAACAATTTGTTCTTTCTTGCCGTTTGCATCGGCCAACTCGCGGTGCGCGAGCTCTCTCGGACCGCATTTGCCGGGGCCCATGGATGCAATGGCCCATCGCGTCCTGCGCGCGGCCCCGACGGCGCGCAGCCTCTGGCTCGAACGCCTGGCCGCGCCCGGAAAGATCTCAACGTCGAAAACCTCGAAGTCCATGAAAACCTTCGACACATGGCGAGGACGGATGATGCGCTCCATCCCTGCATTTTGCCGCATTTACATGCGCGCGCATATCTCGAAGCCATAATGTTCGGCGCGATCTTGACAGCCTGCATTCTGAATCATCCGTTGACGAGCCCCACATGGACATCTGTGCCTGCCGCCTTGACTCGCTTGCCCAAGTTAGCTTGGATCTCCGCGTCCGCGGAGACTTCGCCCGCTTTAACCACTAGAGCCCGCTGCGAGGCCGCTGTCACATACACTCGCATCGTAGCGACGCAGGCGGTGACGCAGTCGAGATATAGTAGTCGTTGCCGCTGATCTGTCTGCGAGACCTTGGACACGCCTGCCGCGGAGCAGATCGACGCGCAGACCGCGCCCGTCGCATTCTAGTTCGCAGGCGCCGCCAGGCCTTGCTACGCATATGATGATATGGCACGATTTCCTCGGCGTCGCGCTGCAAGTTGCCCCGCGGCGGCAGGTGGCCCTGCTCTTCGCCGCCGACGGCCGCCGACGCACAGTTCTGCGCGATCATCGCAGACAATGCCGAGCGCAGATCCTCGAGTGGAGCGGTCTCCAAGACTTCCTGTTCTTCTTGTAGTCCGGCGCGCCGCGTCTGGAATCCACCTCGAGGTCGCCTTCGGAACCCTCGTAGATGGCGAATGGGTGGCCATCGGTTTGGAGGACATAAGGCACTGCATCACCCTCGCGCGCCACGCCCCAGCAATGTCATGTAGATTCAGGGCTGCGCCGTTGCATTCAGCAGTAGTTGACTGCAGGGAGTCGATGACTGCCGTTGGTCAATCTCACGATCACTACGTCTTCGGCGCGGAAACAATCGCATGAGATACTGCAGGGCCAAATTGACCTCAGGCGATAACTCGCTCGCGGTCGTCTGTCGCTGGCACCCCGGTTCTCTTGGCAAGTAGCCAAAGGTTCCCCCGCGGGCAAGGCTGCGATAGATGCCCGTGCTGCGCGCGTGGCCGTATCATCGGACCGATCTCGCGGGTGATGAGCGCCTTCCGTTTTGCGCGGGTCCTCCGACCTGAAGCGCAACTTGGCCCCGTCTGGGATCGTTCCTCACGACTCCGAGCGCGCCGTTTCATCCTCCCCCGCCGTCCTCCGCTGCGGCCGCTCGGCGGTGATCTGCACGATCTCCCGGCGCATGCGCACGTGGGCCAGGCGTGTAGTTTTCGGGCGCAACGCGCGCTTGGTCTTTGCACTGCAATGGCCTGCGCGATAGTTCTCAACGCTGATCTCCCTGATCCGTCGTTGTTCGTGACTGGGGCCAAACGCTTCTTGATCGCGCGCGGCCAATAATTGGGGGGCCTAGGAGACGTGCAAGCCGTCGCCCGCGAAGAGCCCAGCACCAGGACGCACCGCTGTAGAAAGTGGGCGCGCCGCTCGCGCGCGCGAGTTCGCGCGGCAACCGCTGGGTCGCAGGCGGCGCGCGATGCTCCTTAAGTTCTTGCTCCATGACGCCAAACGCATGGCGGATAATGCCGCTCCTCAGCGCGATGGAAGCAACGCGCTGGCCACGCGCTCGGATGCGGAACCCACGCCCTGAGAGATCAAGACAGCCCTGGCTGCGTCATGGTTCAAAGCTCCTTCACCATCTGAGCGCAGGGCCTTGACGGGCCCGGGCTACGCCAAACATCAATAATAAACGCCCCGAATACTGCGCGCCGTTCGGTCGGGCACCTGCCCAGCTCCCCATCAGACGCAGGGGTCAACAACGCGAGATGCAACGTGCTGCGCGCACAACATCAAATCGCATTCGGCTTCATCATTGAAAATGCCTGGGAACTTAACTGCTGAGATCACCGCGTCGCAAGGCCCACCCGAGGTTCTGCGCTCACGACAGGAGTCACAGCCGGCCTTCATCAAATTAACGCGCGCGCTGTCAAGGCCAAACCTGGACAGTGCGAGCCGCGCCTTAGGTTACGTGGAGTGGTACAGTCGAAAATGGATTTACGCAGCTCGTCCATGAATAGTGCTAGTTCGTAGCTACGCTGGCTTTCGGGCCGAACCTGCAGGTCGAACCGCGACCAGCCCGATAGTGTCGGACTTCGCCGTGCACCGCGTGTCGCGTCGTGGCTGATGGCGCCCGCCGTCGGATCTGCTTTCCCCGGCGTGATCCGCAGCGTTTGCGGTGCGCGTGGCCGCGCTGGCGTCGCCGATGCCGCTGGCGCGGCTGGCGCAGGCGAGTCGGCTTTAGCTGCAGCTGGCGCTGTCGGCGGCTGTCCGCGGTAGTCGGGCAATCCACGTGTGCCAAATTTGGATTTGCCCGGGGTCCGCAGATGTCTAGCTTCATTGTTTCGGTAATACTTCCTGGAGTTAGGACATTCCCAATAGTGACGTTTTTGTCGTGCCGTCT